TATATATATATATATATATATATATACACACATAAATGTATATATATATATATATATATATATATATAACAGTTTTACATGATATGTTACTTATGTGTTATATTTACGTTAAATAATTGGGATTTATATGAGCATATTGAGAGAAATTATTCGATAAAAAATTAACAAACGGATATTTCCAATTAAAATACCGATGAATTTTTGTATCTGATCAGGAAACATCTGATGAGAAATATCGATTCATAATTTTTTTATCAGTTTATCTGATAAAATGCTATTATGAACAGAAGTATTCAATTAAATTTAATTGGTTATTTTGATCGGATATAAAAATTCACCGATATTTTAGTCGGAAATATCCATTAGTTAATTTTTTATCGGATACTTTCTCTCAGTGTGGGAATGCTTCGATTCTCAGGTATACATTGAATTTCATTGAATTCCACAAAGTTTCGACTGCATTACAGTTTGATCTTGTGTGCGGTCGAGCGATTTATCCGACGATCGGATTGGTGGCTCTTAATACGGGAGGTCCTATAGGCGTGTATTTATTCGGTACACTAAATGACAGGTAAATTAGAACATTGATATAAACGTTAAATTTTCAAAGATTTTCAGCTTTAGTTATTCCTTTTCATTTCAGTTTCAATTTTTCAACCTCAACACAAAGCTTATTTAACGTCATGTTGTATTAACTGTTATTTAGATATAATATTGATTCTCTCTTCCTTTCCCCCTGAATAAAATTTTTGCTCGCAAAACATATTTCTTTTTACTGTAGATTATATTTCACATATGTGTTCTCTCTAGCGCGTTTTAGATGTTTTAGATTGATGTTTTCCTTGATTTATTAATAGAAAAATTCTATCCGACAGAATTGGACGAAGGTTATCCTTCTTTACGTGTTTGGCGACCTTAATAACTGGGGGATTTTTAACATCGATATCAAATAACTTTTGGACTTGGGCTATTACGCGTGTCATCGTAGGCCTGACAATACCGGCGATTTACCAAATACCATTTATTATCTGTAAGCACTTGAATAAATTCTCTCTTTCTCTCTGTTAAACTAATCGCTTATCGACACAGTTCGCAATATCTCGTAACATCTTATCACCATTTTTTTACTCCGGCAATATTTAAATTTTGTGATATATGGTAATTTAATGAAAATCCCATTTTGGCAGCTTTAGAACTTGTCGGACCAAATTATCGTTCATTCGTGACGGTCATGACTTGTACTTTCTACACTATGGGCCTCTGCATGCTAGCAGCTGTTACTTATTTGATACGCGATTGGCGAACACTCGCTGTAACTACGAGCGCGCCTTTCCTGATTTACTTTTTTTACTGGTGGTAAGCGAACGTTTAAAAAAAAAGAATTTATTTATAAAAAATTTAATCACGAAAAAGATAATGACTTAACGAAACGTTATGATGTTACATACATCATGTTACTTTAGCGTAATTTATTTCGTATAAATTATACTCATAAAATATTACTCAGTTGTACTCGAATTTATGATCACCACATAAATTATAATATTTACTTGACTTATAAATTAGTTGCAAGACAGAAATCTTTAAAATACATTCTGGAATATCCTTGATATTTTTTATTCTCATACGCGTGTTACAAGTATCGTAAATGCGCGAGAAGTCGGAGGTCATTTCAGGTTCTTACCGGAATCACCGCGATGGTTGCTAGCGAAAGGTCGCCTAAGTGAAGCTAACGACATTCTTGAGACTTTGGCCCGAGTGAATGGCAAGGAACTTCCGGTGTCATTTACACAAAAACTCCGTCAGCGCATGACGATGTCGAGGTCGAAAAGCGAGGAGGAGAGATTACGAGCTGGTCCCGGCGTCCTCTCGCTATTTAGAACGCCGAACATGCGCCTCAAGACGTGTCTTATTACCTTAAATTGGTAAATGGAGAGAGGTGTTCACACATCGATTTCACGGATATTTCATTAAGAACGTAACACTTCGCGCACGCGTCAGTGTTTCTTTACTTATTCTATTCTTGTTTGACACACTTCTCATTTTTCGGTCATCTTCACGATCCGCTCAGTCACTCTTAGTCAGTGAAACTGAATGTCGAGTGTTCCTGCCGTTAATTTATCCACCGATCTACGTCGATTATTAATGGCTAAATTTACATCGTACAACAATATAATTTTTTTTTGTTATATTGATGCAATACACAAAAAATTTATGAAAAATTCCATTTTGATTTTTATGTTATATTTTACATGACACGTTATCTTGAGTAAATTTCGATAGTTCTTTTCGTATTTTTTTCATATTTCTATTTCATCGTCCTATATGATAAATATGAATGTAACTTTTACAAATCAAATAATAAAGTCACTGTCAAATTTGCAAAGTCAAAGTCACTGTCAATAGGTGAATTTGCACGCATTTATTTGTCTGAGTATCTCTATCCTAGACATTTTTATTATTTTGGTTTTTAAATATAAATATATAAACTTTCAATGCACACAATATATATATATATATATAATATTGAATACATACATATATTTTATGTTGAAAGTTAAAAACTAAAACACAATAAGAATGTTTAGAATTAAGTATATGTCCGAGAATTGTGATACTTTTACCTCGTCTGTTTTAAATAAAATAGAGCGATAATTTATAATGAAATGTCAGGTTTACGTAATGTCCAACGCGACAATGCATCTTGCTTCTATTAGGTTTGCCAACAACATGGTGTACGTCGGTCTTTCCTATTACGGGCCGGCCCTGGGGAATGAGGAACATCTGAGTTTCCTGTTCTCTTCCCTTGCCGAGATTCCCAGTTACATGGCATGTTGGGTTGTAATGGATCGATGGGGCCGCCGGTGGCCGCTTTGTTTGTGCATGGTGGTAGCTGGAGTGTCATGCATTGCCACGGTGCTGCTTTCGTCCGGTACGCACCATTAGTCAATTAGTTAATGACTCGGTTAATTAACGATAGTGGAGCGATATAATTAGTTAATTATATAATGGGTCGGCATTGCATCTAGCAAAAACGAGGAGTTATTTAATGTTGTAATCAGCTGTCACACGAAGGAATTGTTAATTGATGTATACAGAGTTGGCCCGAACTGTTAGCGAATGTTGTTCGATCTTTCTTGATTCAAGATGCCGTGCTGGAGACGCTGATACTGTTTCTCGTGTCGAAGTCGGCGATATCGGCGTCTTTCTTAATTATTTATCCTTTTGCTGGGGAACTTTATCCCACTCAATTGCGCGGAGTTGCGATTGGCTTCTCTGCATACATCAGCGGCCTCGGACTCATCATTATACCCTTCGTGACATACCTCGTAAGTTTGAATTGAATCCTGCTGTTCCATCATTGCTACTTATCTTTTTCATAAAGGAAACATCTCGCTGTACAACCTGTTGAAGGCTGTTAATTACTAACCCTATTTTCAGGGAAAAGAGAATCTTGTCTTGCCTCTAGTTATCTTAGGCGCGATCTCAGTAATTGGGGGCTTGTCTGGACTGCGGTTACCAGAAACATTGCACCATCGTCTGCCACAGACGGTGGAGGAAGGAGAATTGTTTGGCAAAGACTGGACGTGCGCGGATTGCATCCGTTGCATTCCCACAAAGTACGCATTAGCAAAAAATTGTGAGCTTATAACACTTCAGAAAATGACTTCTATATCCACCGTCCGAGAGACTTCACGTGAAACAATTAAATAATATATTAACACAAAATGCAATCAATGAATTTTTAAGCAAAAGTGTAAATTTGTGAGAAAAAAAAAACAATTATTTAGGAATATCGTATATCAGTTATGGAAGCTATTACTTGATTTAATATCTATGGAATGATACTTTAATTTCCTTGGTTTCTTTTAAATAGTTTCATGTTTCAATCAGAGTTTACGATTTATAGACCTTCGTCGATTGCGACATCCTACGAGGACTTATCGGCAAGAGAAACCGTTGAAATGCACGAAATGCCTGAAGTGCCGCTTGCTTCATCCATTTTAGAGGAACAACAACGACTGAACACGGCGAATGTTCGCCATTTGGTTCGTCAATCCAGCATGATGGATACGCAACGCGATTCCGACGGAACTATGAAAATGACATATTGGTTTTAATTCGAACCGCATTGAATCACTTCATGCTTCAACAAAAATAAAATGTATTTTTTGTTTCATCTTAGATAATTTATATATTTGTTTTTTATTATTTTTTAAATATTTATTGATTATATTCCATTCTTTTAAATAATAAAAATCCGGTAAAGAGCCGAGGTGAAGGATTTCCATTTTGTAGTTTTTAATTTCATTGTATCTAACGATATATTTATATATATGTGTACATAAGTAAAAAAATAATTCTATTAAATAAATGCTATTTTAATAAAAAGAAAATATTTGTGAAAAAAATATATATATCAGCTTATTTGTCACGATATGTATCGTTTTAATCGATAAACCTTCGTTATCCTTGATATAACGAGTATATTAACGAAATCTACTAAAGCCTGGAAGGATTTACAGCGCTGCTTGTGTGAGGCACAACTTTCCGGTGTGTGAGTCGGAACCGTCGAATTATATCAGAGATGAAAATTCCCATGATTAAACACCTACGCTTTCTTTCTGTCTCCCGTGTGGTGAAGTCTCCCGTAAGGTCAAACAAATGAAACGAACGGCAGAAGCAGGCGAGATCGTGTCCACGATGCAATTTATTCGCTTTCTGTATACAAAACACGAGGGTAGCGAGAAGAATGAGAGAGTGAAGAATTTCAGCCTCGAGAGTGCCTGTTCGTTTTCTTTGTGCAAGGTCCGGGACAATCTGTCGCCGTGTTATCCCCTCGTAGACCCGTCTCACCCCGGCCTCACAGACGAGTGGTCCTGTTGTAGCAGCTGTAAGCAGGAGGATCGCTGTACGATTGCGACGCAGGTCACTCGGTGAGCGCATTCTCGCACGACTCGATTTACCTTTCTAGAAGTCGCCGTTTCAGCTCGGGCGGATAGGACACATATATGTAGTGGTCAGGCATGTCCTCGCTGGACAAGGGTAGATTTTCGTCCCCGTGGTCGCCCTTTCGTCTTTCCAATCTTCCCTCACCGTGAATGCTCGGGTCGTGTAACGGCGAGGTGCTCGAGCGATCCGTGCTGCCGTTATAATCCACACTGCCAGTACCGTCCAGTCGATCTTCGTCCGCGGTGCTGTTACGAGAACGAAATTGAAGAGAGATTCCACATTTTTTTCTTACAAAATACGCGGAGAAAATATTGCAGCAAAAATTATGTTGAAATTTCATGAACATTTCATTTTGCAATATTTTTTTTTTTTGCAAAACTCGACTATACTGCATTCAAAGAAGAATACACGGTGGTGATGACTATACAAGTGATGACTAGCATAAATTCGTGTATGACGGCCATAGAATGTAATTTCTTCAATAATTAAAATAGTTCGCTTTTATAATAATTCTAAAAAACAATCAATATTTGCAGTAGATTATGTTTACACTCATGTGCTAAAACATACTATTTAGCAATTATTAGAGAAAGTACCGAGCTTATATAGCCATCTTTTTCGTATGGTTATCATATGCGAGTTTATTCAATATGAATTTTGCATAGTAGAATCAATGTGCATAATAAACTATTGGTTTAATAAACTATTTTATAATTGTTGCAACTGAGGCTGAATAGCTATTACAAGAATTAAATATACAGTTCTCTAATTTTCTCTATATAGTTCTATCGACCACTCAGTTTTAATTACAATAAGTACAAAATAGTTCATTAAACTATATATATTGATTACATATACAAAACTCGTACAGTATCATTTATATAACTGCCATTACCGTATATTTTCTAGGTATGACATTGTAGCATAAATTAGAAAGAGTAAGCTTTACGATTTACGAAGTATATATTATTTTAAGACATTATTATAAGACATTCAATAATTACAGCAATTTTCTAGTAAAAAAGAGCTAAACGTGCATAATATTCTTAAACAAATATACAATAATTTCTGTCATGATTTCTGTATGATTCAAAATCACAAAATTTTCTTGCAATTTTTCCTACAATATTTTCTCCATATATGAAACACTGCTATCAGATTTGTATCTGCAATATGCGACACTCAGAGTTGCGATGTCGTAATAATTTCAACGATAATGCTTCACGTTAACGTGATCGTTCATTTGGAAAAGCTGCCATTGTTTGAAAATATCGATTAAAGTGAAAGACCGAGCAAAAGAAAGTTAACTTTTTCTTTGTTGTTGAAAGATTACTTGCGGAATGTATCCGTTCTTTTTTTCTCGTAAAACGTCAGTTCTTTTTCTAACTATTCGTTTAGTACCCGTTTTTAGACGAGGACGTATGTAAAAATCGCTGTCATGCATATCAAATGACGTGACATTATGCGCGCGATTATTCCAAAGCGGCCTACGCAGACATTGTGTTATATAAGGTCCGCGGTATATCGACTATTCATAGTCATATTTCTTTTATACCGCTCATAGCTCTCCGAGCGTACAAATGTGCAAGCTGATTGATAATTCACGCCAATTAATCATCGACATGAGCTGATTTTTCTACGTGACTTTACGCGCTCGCAATTTTCCCAATCGGGAAGACAATTCGCGCGACGGGACTCGACGTAGGAGGACGTGTGTCAGCTCGGCGTGACGTACTTGAAGCAGACCCAAATGACGTAGTAACACGCGTAGATCGACGAGAACAGGAGCAGCATGAACACGGTCAGTAAGTACCACGGCGTGTGACGCTGCTGCCTCTTCGTGTCCTCCCAGTATTTGTCGCAGCTAAGATACCAGCAGATCGCGCGATTCAGCTCCCCTGTCGATGGAAAGAACGACCGATAAGAGGATGTCAACGGCCGCTATGGTCGCGCTAATTGCACTATGCGCGCTTAATTGCAATCGCGTACCTTCGATCTCTTGAAAGTCCCGCACGGAGAGATTGGTGAGCAGCCCGGCGATGCAATCGCGCACAAGTATCTGTCGACAATTGCACGATGAATGCGACTCTGTGTCTTGTATCAGCAAATACCATCGGCATTGTATTTGCGGACGGGCGTATCTGCAAACGCACCGCGCGTATCCGTCTCGCGACGGATTACGAACGGAACGCGCTTGGAAACGCGATTCGCAATATCGATTACGGAGATTAACGAGGACTCGCTTGACTCGCTTGATTCAAGATATCAGAGAGCGTCGATAAGTCGAAGTTTCAAGACGGCTCGAGAGCCATAGATATTAATTATCAAGACAAAGTGCGCGACCTTGTGCCGCAACAGATATATACACGATATATCTATAATATAGAGTGCACGGGTATGGATAATCCGGCTCATTACATGTCTCTGATAGCGCTACACATTTCCATGAATAATCTACAAAGTGTATTGCACGAATGACCGCGACGATCGCGTTGAGACTTTATTACATCAATTCGCAGCGACTAACTTCGCATTGGGTCTTCAGCTTCTGCAGCTCCTCCGGCTTACAGTTGGACTTGAGTTTCCTCAGATGCAGCCCTCTGCGCCTCTGCTTCTTGTCGACGGCGGGCAGCGCCGCTTCCACCAGGTTCTCCTCCTCGTCCTCGGCATCCTCGTCATCCTCGTCCTCGTCCTCCTCGCCGTCGCAGGCGCTGCTTTTGTTGTCCGGCCCGGCGATCTCGTTGTGATAAGACGATCTTGCTAGTCTGTGATTGTGCATTTCGCCGTCATGGTTATCGCGCCGGCAATAACGCTGCAGATTCGTCATCGCGCCACCGCCAGCGATGGCGCAGGATTTGTCCGCAGGATACATTCTGGCAAGGCCACGTGACTCGCATGGCACGACGGAAGTGCGATGCTGCTGCTGTTGCTGCTGTTGCTGTTGCTGCTGCTGCTGCTGCTGCTGCCGTTGCTGCTCGGTGTTCTCACGCCAGACCTGAATGTCGGTGCTCAGGTGACTGCCGTCGTCGTCTACCGAGTTCTCAAAGTCACGGTTGCCCAATACGTCGCAGCGCATAATGTCGCAGTAGTCTGCTAGGCATACCGCGTCCTCCGCCTTCATAAGAAGAAACAGAGAGATAGATAGATAGGAAGAGAGAGAGAGAGAGAGAGAGAGAGAGAGAGAAAGAGAAAGAATTATTCATTGTGCACTCCGAGACACAGTCTAGAATATTAGCATACAGTGTACAATATACCAGAGTCTAAATCTTAGTCTTGCTTTCAATTTGAACTTGCAGAAAACGCACAAAATGCCACTTGTAGCTTCTAAAGAGATTTGCCTCTCGGCAAAGTTAATAGATTGAATAGAATCAAAAGAAATTGATGTAAGTAAAATATCAAAGAAGGTGTTAAATGGAATATGAGATACACACATAAAACTCAAGTTAGCATGTAAATTGAAGGAATCTTAAAAATCTTATATATATGTATATATAAAGAAAATTTATTAAAAAGTTATTGAAAAAAGGCTATTATCTTGCATTTTTTTGCATTTAATATGTCAAAGAAGCCATGAATAAGCGTCAATCAAAAAATATTCATGAAGTTTTACCGATGACACAGATAAAGAGAAAGAGAGATGCGTAAAAGTATTTTTTGTCACAATTCTTGAGTAACTTTTATTATTTGTTTCATTTCTAAAATTTCTAAATTTCTAAATTTCTAAATTTCCTTTAAGTGCTTACCGTATTCACGTTGCTTTTGTGTCTGTTATCGAAATGGGCGTCCAGATGTTTCTCCGCGTAAAAGGACTTGCCGCAGAGGCCGCAGGTCCATTGCGAGGGCCTGTGCTGGTACTTTGCCTTTTGTTGAGGTCGAAAAATATCTCGACTTTCGTGGAATGGGCATTCCAACGGCAACTCTACCTGATACTTCTTCAGTATTGGCATCCATCTCTGAAACCGCGGCATAGTTTAAAATATTGTCTACTTACGTCTCTCTTCTTTATCATCTTTCACTTGTTTAACGAGCTTAACAAATATTGTTGAAAAAAAATCGCTGGAATTCTCCTTCTGCGGATAAAGATCGTGTGAAATACACGCGTTTACATTTCGTTTTCTCACAGGCAAAGCCACGACTTCCAATCGATTTCGTATCGTCTCCATTAATTATTGGAGTCTCGACAGATAGATTCATTTTGTCGGTGAGTTTTAATTGATCCATCGATTCTTTCTCACCTTGTGAACTATCCTCCTCACTACAGACGCTCGATCGCGGGGACATGATATCTTAAAGACACTGGGACCCGGCCATGGAATCACAGATAAGAGCAGCACTGCCAGAACCTAAGGGCAATGCAATGTTAATATTTATACGCGCGCGTACACCCCCTTTGTAAAATTCCTTTACAAAAGAATAATTAACCTTCTCCGTCACCGAGTCGCAATTCATTGATTATCTCTAGGGTCAAGGTAAACAAGGCGGTTTGGAAGGAGAAATAAAATAGAAGAATAAAGCTGTTATCACCTCATGTTTTCTGTGTTCACGTGGAGGAACACTTGGGAACGACCCCATGTAAAGTCAACCATTTGTTTATGTTAATATAATAGTGCCGAGCTCCTTTACGCAAGACCGTTATATTTTAATTGGAGCCGTATTACAGCCGCACGCAATGACCGGGCGTAAATGGCAAACGTCAAAGTGACGCACAACGAGGGGATGTACCAACCTTAATACACTTCGTAACAATGTGTACAATCTACGAGTGATGCTCTTTCCCGAGCACACATGCATAAGTAATGCAATCGATAAAAACGTCGTCGCTTGCTCACGCACATTAATATTCCTTTTAACAATCCGTAATCACACACACGTCACGTCACGCGCGCTACTCCCTCACATTTTCCGCGAGAGATGCGCGATTCTTTTCGCGCGATTGACGCGATGCTTCGTGCGAACTTCGGATGGATCCGGCAGGTACGTCGAGCGAATACGACGCGAGTACCGCTACCGCTGAGGGATGTTAATTACCTCGAGGTGAAAGGGTTGGGTCTTCATTCATAGCCCAAATGCTCCGTGCGAGAGTGATCCGGCGCGACGATTACGAGCTTCGGGGATGGCCCAGTCCGTTTTCAGAGAGCGGTCGTTTCTTCGTGCGAGTCACCGTTAGTCGAGGGTGTACGTGGGTTGCAACGGGGGAGCACTGCAGGGTCCACGTCGACATGGCGTCACCCTCGGGCGCAGGTTTCAAGCGAATACAGGGATGTCGCGTACAGTGCCGGCGTACCTCACTTTTGGTGAGTTTAGCCGTGTTTGTTGATTGTCGGTGGATTCTCGTGAAAAAAATGACAGCGTGGAGAACATTCGCTCGGGTCAATGACCAAGTGTTGGTAAATTTAAATACGAATGTCTGCGACTGAAATACAAGGAAATGTCCACTCGAGTCTGACAAGGAAAGAAAACTTTTGAATGTGTACTCGCGCGTCATTCACGAGACAGAGAATTTTCGTGTCTTCAAGGGACTATTCACGGTAACCCTGTGAACGGTACTGTTTCTACAAATGTCAAGAGATATTTATAAATAAAATAAAACAAAATAGGATATCGCGTGAAAGTTTGAAACTGAAGAGTAAACACATCACCTTTTAAAACCGTTATCATTTTGTTGTTCTTAAATTCATGCTTGGTCAAATTTTGCATAAGAAATTTGTATGGGGGAAATGCGCTTGTGTAATATTATAGTGTGTAAATTTTTTGGAAATTTCGCAAAACATTTTACAAGTTACTATCGGCTGGCCCCTCATGAGACGTCCCTGTCTTGGCAAGGGTCATCAGCGTCGGCGTCAGCGTCGATGAAGATGCGCCGACGCATTAGCGCTTTAGCCAGTGTGAATTGACTCCAACGCGCAGGAATTGTGAAACTGGCGGTTTTACGAAAAACGTGATGTTATACGCAATAAAATTCACGATGAATTCTTCAATATTGTGTGATGACTTTTTATTTCATTGGAAATTCAATAATTACTCTCATATGTATACTAATGGTCTCGTAACACTTTTAATTACGCTGATGTCATTGTGTTTTCTATCCAATCACGGCAAACACAATACACTTCCCGTTGCTTCGAGAGCATCGCTAGATAACAAGAGGATGGACACATCTCGCGTTTCCGAACATTACGCTTGACTACAAACAAATATTTCAAATATCATTGGATTTCATTTCTGCTCTTTAATAAATAATGGAATAGTACAAAATTTTGTTAATATTTGATGGAAGGAAAACAGGTCAGGTGTGTTTGGCGGAATGTCAAACATTATCGACTAGAATAAGAGAATCGACTAAAATATCGGTGGCGCAATGAAATGAACAGGTGCACTGAAGTAATAGTCAAATTCTCTCTGTTTACTACTATGTATATAATTACACAAGTATTTTTATATAGGCATTCGTGACACTCCAAGAACCAACATTAGGAAACATATTACTATATACAGAGTGATCCCGACTTTTTTTTACCAGACTTCGAGATTTTATAGGAAATTTAATTCTGAATAAAAAGTTTTCTATAAACATGGGTCAAAAATTATTAAACACTTTTTTGTAATACATTTCAAACTAGTTATCTAAAACCTATGGAACATACTAAAATAATTTCGTCCCGTCTAAAAGATACTTTTTCCTATACAACTTTTATTAATTTTTGTCGAAAAATACTTTCCCTGATATTTATAAAAACGTATAAAATAATCGTGATTTCAGAGGTTTTTGGGCGATAACTTTTTAAGGAACCATTTTTCGATCCATGTTTATAGGAAACTTGTTGTTCAGAATTAAATTTCCTATAAAATCTCGAAGTCTGGCCAAAAAAGTCGGGACCATGTGTGTGTGTGTGTGTGTACACAAGGTGTCCGTCCATAAATGTCCGAACAAATATCTCGTAACTGGTTGAAGTTACAAGTTTAATAAGCAAAATTTACATGGCTCTTAGTCAGCTACAAAATGCATGTAAACATTTTTTTACTCGTGATCTTTTTGAGTTATGAAGGTCAACGTAGTTTTTTTAAATAAACACCTATAATTTTCTTGCATATTTATACAGTAGGAGTCATTTGTAATCAGAATCATATTCAGTAAAAAATTGCTAGTATGCATCGTTTATTACAAGATAATCGACATGTTAAGTTTTAAAGTAATAAATTGTATTATGAGTATTTTTTAATGTTAAATAGACTGGAATATAAAACAGATTAAGAAATTAAAAAATGTTTTTTCATGAAACATTTATTAACACATAAGATTTACGATATAAGATCACTGGAGCTGTTGAAAGTATTACAATAGACATGCTGCAATTAACAATGAGAAACATTATAAAACGCGTTGAATGCTGTATCGATCATGATGATAAAAATTTCGAGCAATTTATGTGTTAATAAATATTTCATGAAAAAACTTTTTCATACTTTCTCTATTTTCTCAATCTGTTTTACATTCCAATCTATTTAACATTAAAAAATATTCATAATACAATTTATTACTTTAAAACTTAACATGCCGATTATCTCGTAAACGATGCATACTAGCAATTTTTTACTGAATATGATTTTGATTGTAAATGACTCATACTGTTTAAATATGCAAAAAATATTATAGATATCCATTTAAAAAAACTACGTTGACCTTCATAACTCGAAAAGGTCAAGAGTAAAAAAAAATTTTTACATGCATTTTATAGCTAAGAGCCATGTAAATTTTGCTTATTAAACTTTCTTGTAACTTCAACCAGTTATGAGATATTTGCTCAGACATTTATGGACACCCTGTATATATATTACTATATTATAATAAAAATTATATGTATTATATATTGTACTATATTACATATATATATATATATATATATATTATATATATATATATATATATAT